GTTTTCAGGCGCCTCCTACTCGTCTTTTACCCAAGGCGCACCATGTGGGATTTTACGGGAGTTGCCCCTCCGCAGGCAGTCCCCCCACACTAGTCGACCTTGGTAGGTTGCAGTCCCTGTCGGTCAAGCTCCCGCCTACCTTTCGGGGTTTCTTCTATCTCTCACTTCTGGCCCGTCTATCTTCCACCCCTACATACCCTGGTCTCTTTCTCCGTGCAGGTTGTGTGGTCTCTTGCTTTTCTATGGCTCTCTGGAGCCCGTGAAGCCTTCCCCAAATCTCCCGCTGTCTCTCCAATGCCTTCTGGGTATATTCTTCCCTCCAAAATTCTACCTTTGCCTGGCTGGTAGGTCTTCCCCTCGGTCCTTTATAGATCTTTACATAGGCTACGCCTCCCACTCTCGCCTCAATTACTTTTCTCAGGGTCCACCATTGGACTCGCCCTGGGAGGTTATTAATATAAACACATGGCCGCCTTCCTCCCCTTTGTTCTTTCTCCAGCTGAATTACCTTTGTTGTTGAGGGACCTTCTGCCTCCTTAGCTTGGCCTGCAGTCTGGGTTCGGCATGGTCTCTGCTTCAGTGCAGGGCTGGGTATCTCATCCTTACGGTAGAGGTTGGGACGTACTTCTCCTCCCCCCTTAATTTCCCTGGGGGTTTGGCCCCTCCTGCCCATCTCAGGCCTTTGGGCCTCTCTTTTACTTCGAGTTTCTGCTGCTCTCTCCCCCTTGGAAACTGTATCTGTCTACCATATACCAGAGCCGGGGCTGTCTTTGGTCTCCGGCCTTTTTATTTTGGATGTTGCTCCTTTTGAATGTGGCTATGATAGCTCAGGTCACTGTTGTTTCTCCCACTGACCAGCTTGCTCTCTTGCACAAATGCCATATCCCCCGTATCTCCCTCCATCTGTTGTCCCTGTTTTGGTATTGCCCCTCTTCCAGCATCATACCAGCCGCTAGGCATTCCATGACTGTGGAGATGATCTCTTCCCGTATCATCGTGGGGTCTACCCCTGAGAGTGCCCCCCTCCTAGTATTCTTTTCATGCTGCCTTGTTTCTTCTTCTTCTCTAGGAGTTCCCACGCCCACTGTGCTGGGTTGCTCCTGATATCTCAGGACCTTTAGGAGCGTGGGCTGTGCAGTCTCTATTAGTTTTTCTGTGTCTAATAACACCTCCTTTCAAGCTTTCAAGTTCTGAAGGTGCTCCTCGCATCCTACCTTAGCCTTGGACGCATGGTCTTCCAACTGCTTGCTTATTACGGTCAGTCTCTCACTCTGTATTTGAGTGGCCTGTACCACTTGTTGCTTGATCTCTCCTCGCCATGCCCTCTCCCTGGCCGTGCTTTCTTTTAATAGGGTCTTCAGGGACTATGTCTCTTCCCCTAACTGGTCCTTTTCCTTTTCTACCTCTTGCCATCAAACCCGCAACTCTACACACTTCTCTGTGCTGGCTCTTGCCTCCGTTTTGAGGGACTGCTTCTGTTCCTGTAGCACTTTATTTTCTTCCTCCAAGGCCTGAATCCGCTGCCTTAAAATTTGCATTTGCTGCTGTGACTGCTCCCTCTCTGCGTTAGTCACTGCCTCTTTAGCTGAGCTATCTTCTAAGAGGGCTTTAAGGCACTGTACCTGTTCTCTCAGGTGGTCTTTTTCTGTCTCCACACTCTGTAACTGGGACCGTAACCTATCGTGCTCTCTCGTTCCATCCTCTAACTCCCTTTCAAGGGACAGGTTTTGCTCGCACAGCGCCTCGTAATTGGCCATGTAAGCTTTTACCTTTTCCATCTCCTGGGCGATCACCTTCCCATTTTCTTCAGTCTGAGCATGATTTTCACACAGTTTATCCCGCAGCTCTTGAGCTAGTTGTTCTGCACGTATATACTTATGCCGCCAGTCCTCCACCTCATCCTGCAGTTCCTCTATGTGACCCTCCTGGCTGCGGACCTCTTTCTGTAGGGCGCCTATTAGGCCTCTTGACATCTCCCACTTTTGTCGCACCTCCTTCTGTTCACCTGCCCGGATTGTGCAGGTTTCAGTAGACCTTGCTTTCCATGTTGCCATCTCCCTCTGCAACTTCTTTAATGTCGCTTCCCCTTGTACAGTCTCAGGGGCGGTGCCTTCCTACTCCGTCCCCCTTTCAGGTCTGTGTTGCCGTTGCCTTCCTATATCTCTCTCTCGGTTCTTGTTTTAACCCTAAGGTTCGTCTCCCCCTCCTCGGGGACACAGGTTCCTTACCTGTGCACAGCCTTATGTTCCTGGCCAATGCACCACTGTAAGAGGTATCTGCTCTGGGCCGATCCAAACGTGGCCTGAATACCTGTTCCTGGGGCAACCGCCGGCCTTCTCGCCTGCCATGCCTTGCTGTTAATTGATTAATTGATGTTAATTAGTGGGAGGCTTCCCTTGTACTGCCCCGCTGCCAGGGGGTGCTATCTGCGGCTCCGTTTCCTCCCCTACACTGCAGTCCACACCTCGCCGATGGAATAGATGTTATGTCCCATCCTAGTTACGATCTGGCCCCTTTTTGTCCTCTCTGGGCCTCCTCAGTCACGCTGCCCCCTCTGTGGGGCTCCCGAATAATGCCCCCTTTTCTGGGGTTTCCCAGCAACTGCCCCCTCCCTGGGGCTTCTCGGCAACTGCCCCCTCCCTGGGGCTCACCATGCCCGCACTGGGCTTCTCAGCAGTGCCCCCCCTCTCCGGGGCTCTTCAGTAGTGCAGCCCCCTCTCCAGGGCTCCCTGCGCCCGCACTGGGGCATCTCAGTAACTGCCCCCTTCTCTGGGGCTTCCGCCCCCTCTCAGGGCACTCCTCAGTACTGCTGCCCCCTTCTCTGAGGCTCCTCAATAGCGCTGCCCCCCTTCCCTGGGGCCTTCTCAGTAGCGCTGCCCTCCTCCGGGGCTCACCGCAATGCTACCCCCCTTCTCCGGGGCTCACCGCAATGCTATCCCCTTCTCTGGGGCTCACCACGCCCGCACTGGGGCTTCTCAGCAATACCCCCTTCTCTGGGGCTTCTCCACTGCCCCTCTCTGGGGATGGGGTCTATGTACCCCGAATTCTGCGCCCTCACTGGCGCTCAGGTGCTCACACTAGTGTGAGTCCCCTATGAGGCCTCCTCCAACCCCTAATAGCCTCACCCAAACCCCTGGTGATAAACAGCAACACACAATGCAAGCCCATCGGCTATAACTTAAACAGAAGCCGCCCAGCCATAATAACGCTCAAGCCTACCGGGAAATACTCCATCCCTTCCATGAGAAAGCTCCTTCCTCCATGGTTGCTGGCAGGGAACTGCCTTTGGCCCCAGCCCCTAGGGTTTATAAGGGAGCCAGGCCCTGCCCCTTCTGGTCAGCTGAACTTCTCTGGTTGCCCTGGCAACCCACAGCTGGGCTCCTTATTCCCTGCTAGGGCTTCCTCCCTAGCAGTTTCCCCTCTTTGGGAGCAGGGCACCTCAGTGCTCTGACAGGTGTCTAGCTAGCTCATTTGGCAGAACAGGATTTGAAGCTGGTTCCTATAATAAGGCATAAATGTACTGCTATGCTGTGCTCCCCAGATTGCTTTTATATACTGTGCAGCAAAAGGGACCATCACCTCAAGAATTCTTCTTTAGCTTTCTTTGGGCTCTTTTCTTGTCAGCAGTCAGTGAAAAGCAGGTCTGTAACTATTGCCCAAGTTTTAGTTAAAAACTGTAATCACTTCCTGACACAAATTCTCTTCTTGTTTTTAACTGAATGCTGAAGGAAGGAAGGAAGGGGTTTGTGTTACATGCACACAGATCATGATGATTAGTAGGAGGGGAAAGTTTTCCTAGATGTTCAAGGCAGAATAAAACACTTCCAGCAGCTGGATGGTGTCTTTGCAAAAGATTGCTGCAAAATGTTCCCCTGTTCATGTTGTGTACATTCGGTCCTGTCTCCAGCCAGTGCCTGTTGCTCTAGCCACTTATATTGGCTGTGATTAGCTTTGAACATCTTGTTCTGACTGACCCTGCATCCATCTTGAGAGGACCTGGAGTAGGAAGAAAGCAAGTAAAGTAGGAATAATGTGGCTTGATAGTGAAGCTGAACCCACCCTTACTAATTAAATTGCTCTCTTTTATAGCGCATCTTCAATAATAATATTAATAGCAAATCAGTAAACTTTACTGTTGGTCACATTTATCTCAGTGCACACCCAGCCACGGAACCACTACCAATAAAATAAACCCTGCCCACTCTCTCCAGTTCAGGCACAACAGACCAGATTAGGCATGGTAAATGGCTCAGGTGCAGTCCTAAGAACATGCATTGGGAGAGCCTGTATACAGCACTGGGGGATACTCAAGGCTACTTCTGAGCTAGATGCTGTGGCTCATCTCTGTGGGACAGGGTGAGTAGGTTTTATTTTGTCAGCAGCAGTCTCCAGATAGAGAGGAAGGCTCCATTGACATGGCCACTGGGTCTTTCTGTGTCTGCTTTGGCAGTATATTTAGCAGGTCACACAGATCCTGAGACTCCAGGCAGAATTTTCTGCTGCAGGGTCTGGCTAAAAGCTGTGCTCCCCAAAACAACATAATAGACAAAAAAAATATAATATAAATGTAAGCAAAAATAACAGAAATACAAATATAACAATAAAATAGAGCCAACTATTATAAAAGCATTCTTCCTACTCCTAAAATTAACATAATCAAATACAAATATACAAATAAATCAGATAAACCTATAAAAATGTTGTCCATAGGTCCACAGTTGACGCAGTGAAGAATTAAGAGAATAAAGTGTGACTATTAGTTTACAAAAGTTGGCTGAGTGTCTCATCATGGGCAGGGAGCGAGCGGTTTCCTTATTTTTAAAACTTGATTAAATTGAAGCTGCTTTCAGCACTGAGGTCTGTGGGGAAGTTGGATGAAAATCTGTTCATTTTTGTGGGGGTAAAGACTATATGGAGAAGAATACGTTTTTGCACTCCTTAGACACTGGCACTAGAAGTCACAAATAGTAACAATCTTTCTTCTTTTCCTTCATTTTTAGATTTTGATCCTGCTCTCGGAATGATGACGGGAATCCCACCCATTAACCCCATGATGCCAGGCTTGGGGATTGTTCCACCTCCCATTCCTCCAGACATGCCAGCGGTGAAGGAGATTATTCATTGCAAAACTTGTACCCTCTTCCCACCCAACCCAAGTAAGACTTTGCTAATGTTCTGCCCCATCCTCCTTGCATATTTGATGGTAAGGAGGAACCTTCTCTTCACCCCTTTTCCTAAATACAGAGTTAGAACCACAATGTTTTATTTAGAACATGTACAGCTATCTAGAGGCCTTTCTGGATGTGTATACAAAAGCCCTGTTGACAATGCACAGGTTATATGCCTATAAGAAAGATTGTTCTTGATATCTTCTCTCTGAATGTTTGTCATTTCACAAGCTCATTACAATCAAAAGGTGTTAGAACTTATACAATAAGAAAACTGGCACCTGAGAGGGAGCAGAGAGTAGTCCTGTTTTGAAATGATCTGTCTCTAAACTTTATGGTGTGGTTTCCTGTATGTAGAATTTGGATCACAAGCATGAGAAGATCCTGGTGTAAAGGTAGACAGAAAGGCAATCAGGGCCAAGTTCACATCTTTGATGCTTGCTTGTGGCAGGCTGAAAGGCTAGCTAGTGACTGTATCTGTTTTGTGGTGAACTCTGTAGGTGTGCGCTCAGTGTGTAAACACAGTAATAGAGCCAACCATTGGTATAACACATGTAGCCCTGCTGAAGTGCCTGATTTATACGGACATTGGGTGAGCCAGGTCAAACTAACGCAGTGCCTCTTCTGGGCACTCTTCTGATCCCTTCCCGCTTCCGTGCCATCAAGCAGGTCATTTCCTAGGCAGTAGGTATGCTGGACATTTTTCCTCCCTAGGTGTAGCACTTTGCATTCCTCCTTGTTGAATTGCATTCTGTTGTTTTCTGCCCATATGTCCAACCTGTCCAGGTCTGCTTGTAGTTGTTCCCTGCCCTCCGGTGTGTCCATTCTCCCCACAGTTTTGTGTCATCTGCAAACTTGGACAGAGTACACTTCACTCCCTCGTCCAAGTCGCTGATGAAGACATTGAAGAGTATCGGTCCAAGGACTGAGCCCTGTGGGACCCCACTGCCCACACCCTTCCAGGTCGATACCGA